AAAGGTACAGAATCCCAATGATGAGTGTAACTGTATTGTATACCTAGATTGTACCAATAAACTTAATAAAAAAAAATGAATCTTACTGAGGGGGAAGAGCAGATACAACAAAATTGGATATGTGATTATGAAGGTCTTTGCCTGGGGGCAGTGCTGGGGATTGAACCAAGGGCCTGGTGCATGCTATATATGCAATGTACCACTGAGCTATACACCTAACCCTTTAGCATGTGTTTTAAATACCATAAATAGTAATAAAGAACAAGCTTACAACTAGATCCAAAGAACCAACATACACAATCATTGGCTCTTTCAAATAAGATTGTGCAAGGCGACGGACAGCACATGGCCAAGTAGCACTGGAAACAAAAGAAGACAAACTGACATTAAGCACTCCTTATACATCATCAAACATTACAGGTCAGTTTCATTATAGAGTAGCGCAACTACTGTAAGGTTACTAAATGAGACTTTTAAATAAAAACATAAATGCATTTAATAATAAGCTACAGATTAAGGAAACCTATCCCTCTAACAAAACTCTCATCTTTGAGAAGGTAATAACAAGAACTGGTGCTGAGCCTGGCACGGCGATGCACGCCTGTGATCTCAGCACTCAGGACGCTGAGGCAGGAGGATCGAGAGTCAGAGGACAGCCTGGACTATGCACACATGGAAAGTTCACGGCTGGTATGGACTACACAGTGAAACCCTGTCTCAAAAGAACAAAATCAAAAATACTATTTTAGTTTTATCCTAACCTTTGTAAAGACAAAAAAAGACCCCTAGTATTTTTTCATATATTTTCAGCAGGCAAAATCAAGTGCTTAAGCCAAACATAAATGATTTTAAGTGTGCTGATCAAAGAATATATAAATGCGCTTTTTTAGTTTTATCCTAACCTTTGTAAAGACAAAAAAAGACCCCTAGTATTTTTTCATATATTTTCAGCAGGCAAAATCAAGTGCTTAAGCCAAACATAAATGATTTTAAGTGTGCTGATCAAAGAATATATAAATGCGCTGGGCATGGTGGCACATGTGTGTAATCCCAGCACTTGGGAAGCTGAGGCAGGAGGATTGCTGTGAGTTCGAGACCAGCCTGGGCTACATAGTGAGTTCCAGGTCAATCTTGACTACATAGTGGGACCCTGTCTCAAAAAACAACAGCAACAAAAATTTATATACGTGTATATATATGTGTGTGTATATATATATATATATATATACACACACATATATATATTTAAGTTTTTTTACCACATATAAAATAAGTTACCATTTTCCTTTTACTTTCACAGAAATTATAATTAAATCCAACTTTTTTTTGACAGGTTCTCATGACAGTCTTTCAGGCTGGCATGTAACTCACTATGTGGGCCAACCTGGCTGTGAACTCAGAAGACCCCCTGCCTCAGCCTCCTGAATGCTGGGGGCACAGGTGTGTGCCTATGCATAGCTAACGTCACTCTTTTTTCAAATGGCAAGATTACAGAAAACAAAGCCAGAGGATTTAGTTTATTTCTTCAGTGAAATACTATCCTTAATGCTAATGAAGTCAAAGGATATAAATCCAGGAAAAATTAGTCATTATGGATCACTGTATGTTCAAGTAACAATTGTTGGTTTCTCAGTTTTATCTTGGGCAATAAAGTAGCTTTAGTTATCAAATGTTTATCTCTAAGAAATCAATGTAAGTTTTTTCCATGAGTTGTAAATTTCCTAAAGAAACACCCAGTCTGCCCTCTGGAAGTCCAGTAGTCCAGGGGAAAGTAGTCACTGTTACAGCTATACAGTTGCTAACCTAAGGCATAAGAGGGTAGCCCTCACCTAAGAGTCTTAAAATATTTAAGTAATGCTCTAAATCACTGTGGAGAAATCAAACAGAGGGGATTCTTACCCACTAACTTTTACTTTGCACACAATAACCAGGCACATCTACCTTGTCATAATAGTCTGCCTGTCTGGGCGCACATCTAACAAAATCTTCGTTATCTGGGGTTCAAATCCCATGTCCAGCATCTTGTCTGCTTCATCTAAAACCTGTGTTCACAATGAAGATTGTGGCCGATTAGTATGATGTACATTTTCCTTAAGAATATAACAATTGTTTCCCTTTCTTTCTCCAGAGATAAAAATAATTAAAGTATTTGTACTTATAAGGAACATCGTCTGGCTTCCCAGGTGCTTCTAATGTATTTAATAAGGATTTTTAAATGTCTCACAATATCCAAGATTTTACTTCCTTTGTACTTGCATTTTTCCAATCTTTACATTAATATGCTAAAGGGAATATGAAATATTACTAGAGTCCAAAACCACTGCAAAAGAGTCATACTAAAAAACTTAACCAATTGTTTACCTCCCGGCATTCCAAACCCCTGCTCCATGATTACCAGGTAGGTTACACTTTTCAGGCAGACAAAGTTATTCATTTGCAGGTCATTCAATCTGCCGGGAGTTGCAATGATGATGTCGACACCTTTTGAAACATTCTGTATTTGTCCATTTCTATCTCCACCACCATATATACAGACACTTAAAAAAACCCAGAAGTTCACGTTTAGACAAAGAATATCCCATCGTGACTGCAAATCTCAAACTAAGCATTTTGGGTAGGTGAGATGAAATAAAAGACTATTGTGTATGTTTAGCTGTACTGCCCTTTTCTGAGAACCAGCCACACCCATCAACCCACGGTGATGTTCTCTAAAGAACCATTTTGATGTCATTACCTACTGTATGAGGCAACTGTTCATCGGATCAGGGTGGGCTAAACACCTGGCCCCTACTAAACCATTCAGATTTTACTTATTTTTTGAGACAGGGTCTTTCTGTACAGTTCAGGTTGGCGATCCTCCTGCCTCAGCCTCCTGTGTGCCAGGAGTACAGGTGTGTCACCACGCCAGGCTCATTCAGATTTTAAGTATGTGAAAGTACTGAAGAGGACTTGAACTGAATCATCACGTGGTATCCAAGTATGTACAATTTACATTATATGTATCAGTTAAAAATGAACTTGTGAAGCTAAGTCTAGTTCAGCAGAGGAGCACTTGCTTATAAGTCCCTGGGTTTGATCCTAGAATAATACCTCCACATGCACATACATTTTATAATACTGGCATAAAAATGGCAAAATAAATGACTTACCTTCTGAGACTTTTATATGAGTATTTAGAACATTCAGCTTCTACTTGAAGTGCCAATTCCCGAGTGGGTGTAAGGACTAACATGCCTGGGCCATTCCTTTTTCCTCCAGCTCTTTCAAGAGGAGACATTAACATCAGTTACCTACCTCAGATGTATGGGACATCCAGTGCTATTTGCAGCAATGAGTATCAAAGTCAGACACAGTCACAGACATATTTGTAGCTTTGGTGAGATGGTAAAAGTTCTCTCAGTATGATATAGACTTTTGCTTACTATTATTCATATACCTAAAAAGCTAGCTGATGGTATGAAAGATTTTAAAATAATGTTTGATTACAAAAGAAAAACAGTGAGAAATGCCCAGAAAAACAGCCATGCATAAAAAACCCAATGCCTTAAATATGGGCCTTTTCACTGATATTACATCTAACCTGTCCAAGATTTCCTCAGTAAATACAGAACTGCATTGAATGTGATGATTGGAATCTAATGCTTCTGTGAATGCTCTTGGCAGATATTACTTACCGCTTCCTAAAAATGTTTTGCCAATTTACATTTTCATCAGCACAGTGTGTGTGTCTCCTCACATGCTACCTGAGATAAGCCATTACCTCCTGACCAACACAACTGATGAATGAAACTGAATTATGTTTTTGGTGTTTCTATGTATGAAAGCCTTAGAAAGAGAACCCAGACAAAGGAATTCTTACACTGGTTGAGAGTTTAGATGAATAAATCCAGGCATTAAATAGGACAGAGTCTTCCCTGTTCCCGTTTGTGCTACTCCAATAAGATCTATTCCTTGCAGAACTACTGGCCAAGCTTGGGACTGAAAGAGAAGGATAAACACGGTAACAAAAAGTACATTTCTTCCTGCTGTATCTTTCTGTCCCTCTTCTCTAAGCTCCAAACTTCATTCGACAAACTCTGAGTACTTGGCACTCATGGTCAATGCAAGCACTGTCGGGGATGTTCCTAAGGACGTCATACTGGGTATTTTTCTAACGATTATACTGGGTATTTTTTTTGGGTGGGGGGTTGATATTAGAATTAAGAAAAGCATACATACCTGAATTGGTGTTGGCTTTTGAAAACCTGCCCTTTTAATGTTTTCCATAACTTCAGGGTAACACTGAAAGGCATCTTCAAATTTACAAGTAGGGTTGGGGATAGGACGTTTCTCACCATTTTTTAAGTCATCACATGTTATATTATAATTTTCCTTCCTTAAAAGAGAAATTTAAGGATTAGTGTTCTTTACTCCCCAAGGAAGATTTATCAAATAAATCCATTTCTTATCTAGAAACTCAACTGCAACCGAAAAGAAGCAGTGCTAGGAACTTTAGAGTGAAACACAGCAAAGAATAGAAACAGGTGCTTATTTTCCCCTACTGAGAACAGTTGCTTAGGGAAGGGAAACTCAATTTCAATTATATGAATGGGCCAATGAAAGTTTCATGGATAAAAGATTATTAAAAATGGTATCCAGGGCTGGGGATTTAGCTCAGTGGTTCCGCTGCCTGCCTTGTAAATGCAAGGTCCTGAGTTAGATCCCTGGTACCCCCCCCCCAAAAAAAGGTACCCATAAATCATGGTTCATAGTTCAAAACCATGTCTGCAAAACACCTGATGGCCTACAATTCCCATATTTTTCTTTCTACTTTGCTTTTTTGACACAGGGTCTTATTAGGTAGTTCAGACTGGCCTTGAACTCACTGTGTATCCAGGTTGGCCTCAAACTCATGGCAATTCTCCTGCCTCAGTCTCCCAAGTGTTAGGATTATAGGCGTGTGGCACCACGTCCGACATATTTTCTTAATTAATTCTTAACAATTGCATGAGGTAGGAATTATTCTCACTTAATGGCTGATCATAAGATTAATTACCTGCCCAAGGTTGAATCCTACCTCTACTCTTTCTGTTTTACCATTCTTCTGTAGTTTGTAATTTTTCCCTAAGATTTTTTAAAAAGTTGCTATTAAAACCTTTAGTTTTGATAAATAGTTCAAGAGATTATTGTAATATAAAAACATATCAATTCCTTTTTATAATTTTCAACTACTGAAGAAATAAGTCTTTACAACTGCTGTGCAAAACAGCAAGCAGTATGCACATCTGATTTCTTTTTCTTTTTTTGTGATACTGGGGGTGAAACCCACAGCCTTGCAGTGTCACGCAAGTGCTATACCATTGAGCTACATCCTTTGCCCTTTTTAGAAGTGTAGTTTTTGAGACAGGGTCTCAGCCCGGGCTGGTCTGAAACTTGTGATGCTTCTGCCTCAGTCTAGAGTAGCTGGGATTACAGGTCCGAGTCACCACGCCTGAATTACCCACGTGTATCTTTAAATATAAAATTACAGTACAGAGCTCGCTTCGGCAGCACATATACTAAAATTACAGTACAGTCATGTGTCATTTAATGATGGAGATGGATTCTGAGAAAACCATAAATAATCCATTTCTCTGTTGTGCAAACCTCACAGTGGCTTACACAAACCGAGGTGTTCTGTCAGTTACTCGCCTGGCCTCTTGATGCCATTGACAGGTAATCAATCACAAGGTGAGGCTGCTGCCACCACAGCACAGCATAGTTTTATAGTAAACTCTTTTATAATGGATGTATACTCTAATGTAAGACTTAGAAATGCAGCACATACATTGAAACCTCTCTCATAAATGTGAAACACAGGGGTGGGAAAGGCAAGGAGGATAATGGGGGGTGTCCAAGTACGTTACGTACATGTACAGATCTGCCAGAAAGAAGCCCGTTAACCATATAACCAATATGCACTAATGAAAATGATGTGGAGCTGGGGATGTAGCTCCGGACCTCTGCGCCTGCCTGGCAAGCAAAGGTCCGGAGTTAAATTTCTCTACTTGCAAAATAAATAATGTGAAGAAACAATTGAATTCCATTCCTCGGTTTATTTTTGTATTCATTAAGTTTACTGGTATATTTTAGATATATAACATGATGACATTCATCATTGGGAATTTTTACCTTTACATGATATATCCTGGTTTGAATTTTTTTCCTATTCCCCTGCCTTCCCTACAACCCTCCCTATTTACAAAGATCTTGTTTCCTTTCCTTTTTTTTTTTTTTTTTTTTTTTGTGGAACCAGGGATCCAACTCAGGACCTTGCACTTGCCAGGTAGGTGTCGGTGCCACTGAGCTAAACCTCTGGTCCTTGTTTCTGTTTTTCTCATATTTTTTTCTTTCCCTTCTTTCCTTTTCCCTAACCATTCCACTTCCCCTTTGGACCTTTTCATCCTATTTCACATTATCTATTATACCTCTGATTCTCATTTACACTTTCAGTTTCTCACATCAGAGTAACTATTCAGTATTTACACATATGCATCCTATTTATTTCACTTAATGTACATCCAGTTAACTGTAACTGTGTCAGGTTTCTCATTCTTTACAGCTGAGGAGTACTCCATTTTACAAAAAACACTTTTGTTTATACAGTCATCAGTTGATAGGCAATTGTGCTTGTTTCCAAGCACAATTAGTTATTACCAACTGTGCCACTATAAACACAGGTGTGCATGTATGACTGTGGTATGATTTTTTTTTTTTTTTTTTTTTTTTTTTGTATCAGGGATCTAACTTAGGACCTTGTGCTTGCAAGGCAGGTGGTGGCACCACTGAGCTAAATCCCCGGCTCTGATTCTTTTAATTCTTTTGGGAAGATACCCAGCACATTCCTCAGTTTATACCAGCAACATTTTTAGTGCTCAATACTTATACATGGCTATAGATATAAACACAGGCCATTTTCCATCACTGCAGTAAGTTATTGCACATCAGTGCTCTAAAATATATCATGGTGGATGCAGCCAAGTTTTCATCTCAGTAAACATGTATTCATGTGTTTGTACTCTTCAAATGCAACCATTTCAAATCATTACTGAGAGGGTTAATATTAATGATATTACTAGAGAATACCACTAAGGTTAAAGAAAAAACCAAACAACAACAAAGAAAGTATCAGCTGGGTAGAGAGTATTTTTGGAGGATGAGGCAGAAGGATTGAAAATTCAAACTCAGCCTCCGCAACTTAGTGATTTAGTGAGACTCTGACTCAAAAAATAGAAAAGGGCCAGGTTTACAGCTCAGTGGGAAAGTCCTAGGTTCAATCCTCAGTACCAGCAAAAGATAAAAATAAGAAATAAAACTACCTACCTCCAGTTGTCTACTTGCAATTGTGACATTGCCCTTGTTGTTGCCGACTCTACATAAAAGTTTTTCCTAATTGGAGGTAAATCTGGGACAGAGATGAAAATCCAAACTTTGGTAAATAACCAGAATTTACATTCCATTAACATTAAAATATCTATTAAGTTTAGCACGATACAGACAGACTTAGGCAGGTTCACATACTTTGTCATACAGACTGATGCCAGTCTAAGGGACCTCTCTTTATTTTGTCTTTCAATCACATTTCTTACTCAGGAAGGGATCTTCAATACTGATGTTTCAAATAAAGAAAAGCATACTTTACGAGACATGAAACCGCTCGCTGGATTTGATGTTTCTGTCTTCAAACATAATAGACAGATATTTTTCTTTTAAAGGCCCTACCATTACTTTTGTTTTTGTTTTTGTTTTAGACAGGGTTTGTTACATAACTCAGATGGACCTTGAACTCACTACATAGCTCAGGCTGGCCTCAAGCTTGTGAGAATCTTCTTGTCTCAGCCTCCCGAGTGCTCAGATTACAGGTCTGCACCCCCATGTTCAGCTAGGAATTAGACTTATGTATTTATTCTATGCTTTGAGATAGTATTTCTTAAATACCTACACTATCTCTTAGAAACGTTAAGTCCTTTCCTTGGTCCCCCTTACCAAATCTTCCCACACACATATTAGCGCACTGACTTTTGAATTTTAAGTAAAACATGCTGTACACTGCTGCTTCCCTGGAGCCTAAACTGATGCCTGAGTTTACTCAGAAGCATTATCCCGTACATGTGACAGAGAATGTGGGAAACTTCATTTAAAATTCAAACAAAATTCAAACGAAACCTGTCTTAAGAACGGTTGCTCAGAAGCAAGGCAAGCACATCCATTTTCACCACTGTTAGTCACCATAGTTCCTGAAATTTTAGCCAGTGGAATTAGGCCAGAAGAAAAAACAAAAAAGATGCAAATGGGGGAGAAGTCAAATTATCCTCATTTGTAGATGATATGATCCTGACTCAGAAGACCCTAAAGACTCCAGCAAAAGACTTTTTTAGAGCTAATAAATGAATTCAGCAATGCAGCAGGGTATAAAATCAACATTAAAAAAATCAATAGCCTTACTGTATATAAACAGTGGAACAGATGAAAAAGAAATCAGGAAAAAATTCCACTCACAACTGCTTCAAAAACAAATATGCAGAGATCGATCTAAACAAGGAAGTAAAAGAATTCGACAATGAAAATTTCAGAACAAGAAAGGAATCGAAGACACCAGGAGATGGAAAGACCTCCCATGTTCACGGACTGGCAGAGTTGTATTGTTAGAGTGACCATATTACCAAAAGCAATCCATGCAATCTCTGTCACAATTCCAATACACGCTTCACAGAACTAGAAAAGACAATCCTAAAAATAATATGGAAACACAAAAGACCCACAACAGCCAAACCAAAACAAGGCAAACGAGCAGAGCTGGAGGCATCACACCATACCCAATTTTAAATTATACTACAAAGCCATAGTAAAAACAAACAAACAAACAAACAAAAAACCAGCACAGTTATAGGCACAAAAACAGATACACAGACCAATGGAATAGGGGACACAGAACAAACCCACACAAATACAGCCATCTGATTCTGGACAAAGGAACCAAAAATATATGTTACAGAAAAGACAGCCTCCTGAAGAAATGGTTCTGGGAAAACTGGGTATCTACTTGTAGCAGATTGAAACCAGATCTCTACTTCTCACCTTGGGGAAAAAAAATCAATTTAAAAGAGACCAAAGGTCAGCTGGGCATGACGGTGCACACCTGTTAGCCCAGCACTTGTGGAGGCTGAGGAGCAATGCGAGTTAGAGGCCAGCCCGAACTACAAAGTGAGACCCTCTCTCAATAAACCAGAAAGGGAAAAAAGGTGATTCTGAACATTAAGGAAGACAACACACAGAGTGAAGAGACAATCCACAGAATGACAGAAGATTGTTGCCAGCTACTCTTCCAATGGAGGATTGATATTTACAATATATAAAGAATTTTGAAAAACACCAAAACCGGGCCGGAGATGTAGCTCAGTGGTGCCGCCGCCTGCCTGGCAAGCACAAGGTCCTGAGTTTGATCCCCAGTAGCAAAGAAAAAAAGAAAAAACAAAACAAAACAAAAAACTCCCCAAAACACCAAAACCACAAAGGGCCCAATCAATAATTGGGCAACACTTCTCAAAGGAAGAATTACAAATGCCTGACAAGTAGAACAAAGAATGTTAAACACCTTCAGCCATTAGGGAAATGAAAGTCAACACTACACTGAGATTCCATCTCACCCTAGTCATCAAAAATACAAAGAACAAGGATTGCTGGCAAGGATGCAGGCAGAAAAGAACACTCTGCACTGCTCTGGGGGAATATAAGCTAGTACCACCATTATGGAAATCAGTCTGGAGAAACCTCAAAAAACTAGAAACAGAGCTAGGAAAAAAAAAAAAAAAAGAGCTACCATTTGATCCAGTTATACCACAACTTCACCAGAAGCAACTGAAGTCTGTGTACTAGAGGGACACCTGCTTTCCCAAGCTTACTGCAGCACAATTCACAATACTCTACCAAGATAAGTAAACGGCCTAAGTGCCCATCAGCAGGGAAATCAATAATGAAGATGAGGCATATATACAAAATGGAGTCTTATTCAGCCACAATGACAAATTCTGGTATTTGCAGGAATATGGATGTACGGGGAGAGCACCACGTTGAATGAAATAAGCCAGACACAGAACGACAAATATCACGTGCTCTCCCTACTATGTGGAATCTAAAAAAGATGACGAGAAAGCAGAAGGGAGACCACTATTAGAGAAAAGAAAGGAGATAAGGGGAGAGGGACTAAGAGGAGACAACAGAAGGAATGGAGATGAACAAAATGTATTACAGTCATTGAAACCCAGCCAAAAATGTGTAACTGGGAGGCGGGAAGGGCCAGGTGGGTGATGGGACACGGGGAAAATGACCCAATATAATCTGCCAAAATGAGAACAGTTAACCTGCATAATCAATAATAAAAAAATCAATAATAAAAAATTTTTTTTTGTTTTGTTTTTTTGAGACAGGGTCTCACTATGTAGTTGAGACTGACCTGGAACTCACTATGTAGCCCAGGCTGGTCTAACTCACAGCTATAATCTGCCAAAATGAGAACAGTTAACCTGCATAATCAATAATAAAAAAATCAATAATAAAAAATTTTTTTTTGTTTTGTTTTTTTGAGACAGGGTCTCACTATGTAGTTGAGACTGACCTGGAACTCACTATGTAGCCCAGGGGGGTCTCGAACTCACAGCGATCCTCCTGCCTCAGCCTCCCGACTGCTGGGATTACAGGTGTGAGCCACCACGCCCAGCGTCAACAAGAATTTTTTAAAAAATGGCTTGCTCCTTAGGATTTCACACTTTTCTCTCTGGGGCCCATTGTTAGCTTGGTCACTTCAAGATCCAATTTTGCTCAATCACGGCAAAAATGTTAACGTATGACTGGTGCATTTGCTCTCTTCATATTTTCCCCTTGGACCTGATTTTCTATCTTCAGTATTTTGTAGAGAGTTATCTCACATAAGACAAAACATAAATAACTTCAGTGTTTACTTTTCCATTTTGAAAATAAATCATGGAAGTATGATGATTATGACCTACAGACTAATGGCAAATGGTTTTTCTGTTTTCCATTTTGATTTCATTACTAAAAAATAAGGCAGACATGAGAGGCTAAGAACGGAAGATAAAGAAATACCAGCATCACATTTGCATGCTTACACATTAGGATACAGCACTGACCTGCCCACTTTTTTTTCCCCCATTTCAAAGCATCCTCTCGAATTTTATCCCAGTTTATCAACGGCAGATCTTCATTATGATTTGTGCTTACATCTCTTCCAACAGAAGGTTGGAATGCAACAATATCTGTTAAAGAATTTGACCAAATTAGTTTTACAATAAAACCTGCCAGTATGACATTTTCAAAAGCCATTTTTCGACTTTGTGCTTATTAATAATGAGACAATATAAAATTTGACACTTTCATTGCCTAGGGCACAAAGCCCTAGGTTCAACCCACAGCAAAACAAGACAAAGCGGGTGTGTTTATACTACATTAACACGACAATCTGGTCATGGTTTTTGTAATTTTTAAAATCTTATCTACATTACAGAATTATTTTATTTTTTGTCATCAAGTTTCCTGGCACAATTTAAATACACATAATAATCACATTCATCACATGTAATCTGTACCTGCACATGATGTATCCCGATTCACGTGTTTTCCATTCCCCTCCTCTCCTCCTATTTATCTTTCTTTTTAAATTTTTTCTCTCTCCCTTTCTTTCCCACTCCCCGCACCCTTGTGCTCCTTCCCATTTTTTTCCCGTTTCACAAGTATTACACATTTTAATTTACTGGAGAAGAAAACAGCATGAAGAGTCTAGTATGTGCTGAAACTCTGTCATATGACTTAGGCAGGCAGTCCCCTAGGTAAACAGATGAAAAAATGGAACCAAGGAGAAACACTGTCATCTGAGCCAAAGCGTTCTTTTTACTTCCATGTTGCATCTACAATTTTTCTCTAAACAGACGGGAGATTTTAAAAGTACCAGTTCTTATAGTCAGTCCTAGATGGAATGAAATGAGTCAGAAGGCCAGGACCAATCTTACCATCAATATTAACGTGAGAGTGTCAAACTGTTATTTTGGTTTTGCTTCCTATGGCTAAAAGGTAAACTGGACTTAACCATTACATGAAGTAGTTATGGATATTAACTAGTTTCATTCTGAGGAAAGAAAGTAATCTGAGCTTTCACAGGAAAAAAATACATGACTAGAATATGGAAATCTAGGGCACTGAATCAATAAAGGATTCATTCAATGGCTTATAACACTGAAAGAAATTTAAAAAAATGTTTTTGTACCAGAGATTGAACTCTGGACTTTGCAATCGCAAGGCAGGCGGTGGAATCACTGAGCTAAATCCTTGGCCCAGAACTTTTAAAATTTTTAAAAGGACTTCAATGGGGAATATTTACTTACCAACTCTGTATTGTGGACTGTAATTTTCTTGTTCTTTAATAAAATTATCTATCATTGTTTTTGCTTTTGTCTGCATTGGTTTGTTGCCAAAAATTTTTACTTCTGCCTTGGGATCTCCTTTTATTATCTAAATATGAGGAAAAATAGATGAAAATGGAGTCTTTTCACCACACCCAGCCATCACTAATTTCAAATAATAGAAAGGTAAAGTAGTGCTGCTATCAATGTCTATTTTCTAGCTTGAGGGTAATGCTACTTATATCCACTGGAGGAACAGAGCAAAAACTTTGAGCTTAAAAAGTGACATCTAGACATTAAATTCAGAAAATCCTTTCAGAGGAAAAACTAAAACGTTAATCTAGGAATCTCCAGCCCCAGGGCTACAGACTGGTATCAGCCCATGGCTTGCCAGGAATCGAGCTGCAAGCAGGAAATGAGCAGCAGGTGAGGGAAGCTTTGTCCGTAGTCACAGCTGGTCCCACTGCTTCCATTACCACTTCAGTTCTGACTCCTGCCAGATCAGCAGGGGCATGAGTTTCTCATAGGAGCATTAACTCCTATGTTGTGTGCTCAGTACTGGAATCCAATGCCTGATGATGTGAGGTGTGGCTACAGTGGTGATGCTAGCACTGGGAAGCAGCAGTGAACACAGACTGACATTAGTAGAGAGATCTGACTGCACAGACTATAATAAATCAATTAGAAGCAGACTTATCAGTCCTATCACTGAGTAGAAAGTGACAAGGTGCATTTGGTGGCAGACTTTATAGTGGGAAGTCAGTTGATGTACACCAACTGCACAGCTGCATCTGGTGGCAGGCTTTAAGTCAGGATCCAATACTAACTTTAGTCTGCATGTGGTCCATCCATTATTTCATTCATCAATTCCTCCCACATATCCTTCCTACCCTGCACACTTGTTTCAATTTGGGTAAGCTCACAGGCTAACCCTAGCCAAAATGAGTGGAAAAAAAACCCCAACATATCACTGGAGAGCTTTTTTGAAAAGGGAGGGAGACCCACTGATGAGACAGCGACAGAAGATTGCCAACAAAAAGAAAGCTGCATTTATTTTGTTTTTGTTTTTTCTGGTATTGGGGATCAAACTCAGGACTAGTACTTGTGAGGCAGGCGAGGCGCCAATGAGCTAAATCCCCAGCTCCAGAAAGCTGCATTTAAAGGAAACCTCCAATAGTCCTGCTTATATCATGGCTTTATTGCAACAGGTGAACCATTCTTCAAGCCTCTTTGTACAATATGTGGTGACCAGTTACCTAATGAAGCCATGCAAACTTCCACGTGGAGAACAAGCATCCTGTGTGAAAGTATAAGCCTTTGGAGTTTTTCAAAACAAAAAAGGGAACATGAAGAAGAGAAGCAATTACTGAAGACCATCACTTCATCAACTGGATCTGCACTGAGAGCCTCATTCTCAGTGGCTAACTGTACTGCTAAAGCTAACAAGCCCTCTACTACTGGCAGAGTTGATCTTGTGTGCTGCTAAGGAACTTCAGGAGAGGCTGCAGTTCAAAAAGTGACACATGTTCCTCTTTCAATGGCACCATAATTAGACAAATCAATGACTAATGAGTAACCACAGTATATAATCCAGGTTGTTAAGTCTCATGGTGTTGACAGTAAAGTAGCAATGCTTTATTTTGTGGCATGTATTTTTCAGGAGGATGTATGTGAGGATATTGTATGTGTACATTTGTTGCCAGCCATCACCATAGCTGCAGAACTATTTAAGTCTCTGAATGACTACATAACTGGAAAATAAAATTGCTCATTTTAGGTTGGTATATGAACAGATGGATCAGCTGCCATGACTGGATGGCTTTCTGTTTCACTACTCTTATCAGAGAGGTCATTTCTGAACATGAGTGTACTCACTGTGTCAGGTGTAGGGAAATGCTGGCTAGCTGAAAAATGCCACCTGATCTTAACAATGTTTCCCAGGATATGGTTAAAATTATTAACTACACTGAGCACCTGCTGTTAACTCATGTCTGTGCAGCTCTGTGACTTATACATACAAGTGAGATGGCTTCTAAAAGAAGATTACTGGCCAGAATTTTTGAGTTACAAGAGCCACACTAGTGACTTCGTTTTAGAAAATCCATTACCATAGGCAGCAGCACATTACAGTGACACAGAATGGGTGGCAAAACTTGCTTACTTGTGCAACATATTCCACCTGTTCAACAAATTCAATGCCACTTCAGGGGAGAATGACAACTTGTTCAAGTCAGCAGATAAAGTGGTTATATTCAATGACAAATTGGAATTACAGGGATAAGGAGTGAACACTGGGATTTTTGAGGTTTGGAACATTAGCAGAGATTTTGAAAGAGATTGACCAGGGCCTTTCTTCTCCTAGCTGGTGCATAATTACCTATTTCAGCTTTCAAAAGAGTTTGAACATTACTTCCCAAACAAAGAAGACCCTGAATTGGAAAGGGATGGATCTGTAACCCACTTAAGCCAGGTGAATCAACTTTTTCCACACAAGAAGACAATCAACTGCTTGAGACTGGAATTATGGTGGACTTTAAAGTATGTATGAGACAACTTCGAATCTCTATACATTGTGCACTGAAGGAGAAATATTTTTTGAAATTTCCACAAAACACTTAAAGTCTGCTTCCATTTCCAACATCCTATCCTTGTGAAGCAGGGTTTTCTGTAGTGACAGCAACCAAACCAAGATTATGGAGTAGCAACCAAACCAAGATTACGGAGTAGACTGAACATAAGTAACGTACTTGGGGGTATCACCCCAGATAGGAGCATATAGTTGGAGGAAAACAAGTTCAGGGCTCTGACAGATTTTGCATTATAGTGACTTGTATAATTATTTCCTTATGTATCACAATGTAATAATCATAAAATACATAATAAATTTGATATGCTTGAATCATCCTCTGACTAGTCCATGGAAATCTGCCTTCCACAAAACTTGTTCCTGCTGCCAAAGAGGGTGGGAACCACTGCGCTAATCTGAAGGTGATATTACTTTGAGTCTGGGTTCTCTTCCCAATAAAATGGTGCTGTTTACTTTACAGAATCACTGAGTTGGAGTGGATTGACCTATATGATATGTAGATAAAACTGTTTTGGTCAGGCCCAGCAATGAGTGTCCCATGCTTATAATCCTAGCACTTGGGAGGCTGAGGCAGGAGGATCCCCATGAATTTAAGGCCCGTCTGAACTACATAGTGAGACTCTGTCTCAACAAATAAAAAAAAAAAATGGTCATGAATTGTCAGGTCACTTACGCAAAGTTTTAACTTCACAGAATCCTCTACTTATGCATGTACATTGTTTTAGCAGTAAGTTCTCAACAAGGCTGACGTTACAACATTAAGAACAAAATTTACAAGTAAGACTTTTAAACATGTACAATTTCAGATGCCCTCATTTATTCAGTATTTATCTGGAAAGTGGTATACACCAGCAGCTGTCTTAAGTCTGGTGTTTGAGTGTTCATCTTCAGGTTCTATGGACACACACAACTCTGTAAGTGCAGAAAGAAAGCACCTAGGAGCTGCTGAGAGGAAGGAAAAGGGACCCACACACAACACGCAGCAAGGGAGTTCAGATCTCCCTGAGGAGGTGAAACCTGAAAGATGAGTAGGAGTTTCCTATAAGGAGCCACCTAAGACAGGAAAACGTCAGGAAGGTGGTAGGTCAAAAAGAGTAGAGATGTTAAAACAGGCCAAGTCTGGTGGACCATGGTGAGATGATCCTACACAGAAAGGAAGATGAGCTCACAATTCTGTGCTTCAGAAAGGTTGCTTTGACCGTGGTGCGTGATGGATGCTTCAGAGCGAATGCACCTGACAGGACTCCGCTTTTGTCCAGGAAATGGACGAGGGTGGCACAAAGAGAGGTGAGGATCACAGAAGATAATATGAGAACTCTGGTTTGAGAACTCATTGAGTGATGCTGTACACTTCCACTGAGACACACGAGAGTATGTCAAGGTTTGGGGCAAGTGGCTCAGGCAGGGAGTAATTTTGGGCATGAGGACTATCCCTGGAGATATTCTTAAGTAGAGATTATTTCTAGCACCTTCAGCTCTTCAGATTCACAGCAAAAACCACAACTCAGGCGAATTCAGCAGTGAGGAGAACATTAGTAACTCATGGCAGTATGTGAACATCTGGACAGGAACAACAATTAGGTTAACTGCTTAAGGGTGTAAGAACACAGATGATTTACCTGTATTTTGGTATTCGTTGTACTTTGGATTTCTCTTATTTTTGATCCACCACGACCTGTTTTTGTTTTTTAAAAAGGAATATACAAGGTGAAGTCAATAAAGGGGATTTACCTACTTCCCTCAAAGAATCTTGTCTAGCTCATCCCTCAGTCATTCCAAGAAAGGCTCCAAAATCTGAGGCAGGTGGATCCTAAGTTCAAAGCCAGCATGGGCAATTTAGTGAGACCATGAGTCAAAAAAATATTTAAAAGGGGGGCAAATAATGGAATAGACACTTTCCCAATGATATACTGATGGCCGATAGGTATATAGGATGCTCAACTTTATTATTTAAGTAAATGCAGATTGAAACTGCAACAGGGTATTGATTCATACCTGTTAGGTTGGCCATTATAAAAAAAAATTTTAAAGTTTTGATGAAGATGTGAGGAAAATGGAACACTTGTGCACCGTTGGAATTTTAAAATACTACAATCACTATAGAAAACAGAATGGAAGTTCCTAAAAAAAGTTTTTTTTCTTAGTACCAGGGATTGACCTCGGGACCTTGCGCTTGCAAGGCAGGCAGCAGAACCACTGAGCTAAGACTCCAGCCCCTAAACATTTTTTTTAATTGCCATATAATCCAGCAGATGTACTGCAGGTTATACATCTTAAAGAACTGAAAGCAGGATGTCAAAGTGATATTTGTATGCCAGTGTACATACAAGCACAATTCACAAGAGTCAAGGCAGAAGCAAATCAGACATGGTATACACCTGTAATTCCAGGTACCCAGGAGGCTGAGGCAGAAATATCACCACAGCATGGGAACTTAGTGACTTAGTAAGACCTTATCTCAAAATATAAAACATCAAAAACAAAAAAGCTGTTGTTGGTGGATGGGACTGGGGATGTAGCTCAGCAACAGAATGCCTCTAGATTCAATACCCAGCACCACAAAAGAAAAAACAACAGATTGCTTCTCAGCCTTTTGGCTAAGATCAAGTGTAGAAAAAACAGTAGAAGCAACCACTTTCATCAATGGTTAAGTGGATAAACACAATGGGGCACAATATACAGAATCATGACGTGACACCTTTCACCTCTAAAAGAAATCCTGTCACATGCTGTAAAATGGATGAAACTTGAGGGTATTTTGCTCAGATAAACTAATCATAAAAGATAATTATCTTATGACTCCAGTACTAATACAACTAAGTCCAGATCACAGAAGAGCAGTTCCCAGGGAGGGGTTCAGGGAGACATGTGGAGCTCTTTAGTGGGTACAGGTTTAGCCATGCAAGTTCTACAGATTTGAGCCATAACCTTGTGTTTATCATTGATACTGTACTGTAGACTTAAAAATTAGCAAGGTGGGGCTGGCACTGTTGAGTAATTGTAGAACTTTTGGGTAGCACCTTGAGGACCTGACTTTAGTCCCCAGCACAAACAAACCAAACTACAACAACAACAAAATCCCTACTGACTTACCACAATTAAAAAAAATAATTTCGTGTCTGTGATGGCCAGCACTCTGAAAGGCAGAGGAAGGATGATCATAAGTTCCAGCCCAGCCTGGATGACTTAGACCCTGTCTCAAAAGTAAATATGAGGGCTGGGGATTTAGCTCAGTGGTTCCCCCGCCTGCTTCACAAGCGTAAGGTCCCGAGTTCAATCCCTGGTACAAAAA